GACAAACAGTAATATGTTCAGTTATACAGGGTGGAATTGGATGGCGAATATTACAAGTATAAGATTCCCATTTTTGACATGAATCATAAAAGTATATGTGAAAAATCACTAAAATTTTAATAAATAGAATATGAACCCATAATTTCAAAGTATAACGGGCTCAATGATAAGAACCTAAAAATTGAACCCATCAAATCAAAAACTTATATCCCATCTGCTCCAACATATATCATAGACAACTTCCCTAGCAGTGTCCTCTTGCACTAACAATAACAATATCAATCAGCATATCAAGGGACGGAAGTGTTCACCCGAACCCCCTCGACAAAAAATTAAAATGTATAATATTGGATATATTTTCTATGTTTATCTACACATATGAATTGTGAATCCCATAAATAACATGGAAAAGGTTAGCTCTGCAATAAGGAAATTCAAAATTCACCCCGATGTCCAAGGTACAATTCTCAAGTATATGAGCAGCCATATACTTTGTTGAAATATGTGCGTTCACTATCAGTCAATGGACCAGGTCCCTTGACACAGCAAAAACAGTGCAGAAGATTAAACAATATGAAGAACACAACACAAGCAGTTTACGTGGAAACCTCCTTGTTCAAGGGAGTAAAATCACGACCTGTTGCACAGGATTTACAATCGTCTTCACTAATCTTCTCAAGCAAAAGTGAAACCCGGTTACAATCAATGTGAGAAAAAGTTATTAATCTCACGATCAAGTAATCTACCTATTACTTGAAGAGCCTAAGCGGATACCCACCGCCCACTAAACCACCTAACTCTAGATGACTTAGAATTTGACTAAGCAACAAAACAATGTTGCCCACTAAATCAGTTAACCTTAACTGATTTAGACTTTTACAAACTTAAAACAAATATCTGAAACCTTTATAGATTAGGAACAGATTTACAATGTAAGTACATAGACACAAAGCTCTAAATACAACAAAGATTCTTCTTTACTCTATCAGGTCCTTCTGTTGAGTTGAGCAATGTTCTTCCTTGAAGATGGCCTTCTGTTCAAGCTTGTGAATTTTCAGAGAAAATCCAAATTTAATTTGCCAAGTCTTGAATTTGTGTTTGTTGCAAAGAGATAATATCATTTCCCACAAATTCGTTGAAGTCATCCCATTGGCTGAAGGCCTGCTGTTGGAAAAGTTGTGCACCTACCGCATCAAAGATGACAGCTGTCTATTCGTCCTTTTCACGTCGCTGTCTTGCAGGTACCAGGTCCCTTGCTTGCGGGAACCAGGTCCCTTGCAAACTTCTATATGAGTTCTTGAAAAGGTTTACTGGCTGACTTCCTTCTTTGGATGAATGAATATAATATGGTGTTTGTCATGCTAAAAGTATCAAATATAAAGAGTTATTATCCGTTGGACAAACACCCTCCTCCATTCTGATTGGTGTAGTACACTGACGCCTTACCAATCTCTGACGTGACAGCTTTACAGCTGTAACCAATTATGTATCTGATGGAGGAAACTCTGTCTGATACCAGGTCCCTGCATTTGTGAGATACTGAAACATACAATCTCGTCCGCTCTTTTTATTGGTGTAGGATTGCACTTTTTACCTACCACCTGACATGACAGCTTTTATGACTGTACCCCATTTGTATCTGGACGATAGCACTCTACTAGGAACCAGGTCCCCGCATTTGTGAGGATCATCAAAACACATAGAATATAACATTTTCCCCCTTTTTGATGATAGCACACAAATATACCTCACACTGAGTTTATCATTCATCTTATTTTCAGCAGTTCCAATAACAAGGATTTGGTTCCTTGTTAGATCGATAAGTTTGTTCATCAAAACTTCATATCAAGTTCGAGCTATCATCTTAACTCAGCTTCGAACTAACATACTTGCTAAAGGATGTTCAAGTACAAGCCATCTTTGGGCCACAAATGTCTACACAAACCGAGGGAACCGAGTAAAGGTCCCTATCATTTCTCAAGCAACAAGTCCCTCCACTTTCCGTCAAGGAAAATCCCTTCTTCATCAGAGGAGAACTTCCTTCTTCCAGCCAGACTAAAGCCATAGAGGCAATTGCTAAAAACTATAATTGGAGGGAGGTTGTAGTAATCTATGAGAATAACCCCTATGTGACCGGGATAATTGACAGATCCCTTGCGGGAAAACAGCAATTTAGTCTCCTATAGAAGTGGTATTTCTCCGATGATCAAATCCTCAGGGAGCTGTATTGAATACAATTCAGATCAGGGTGTTCATCGTGCACTTACAATCATCTCTTGCCTCCCGCCTTTTCTTCAAGGCCAAAGAAGCCGGGATGGATAATCACTGATGTGCTAACAAGTCTTCTGGACCTGGTAGATCCTTCAAGGTGTAAAATCTTATGTTCCAAGATCAAATGAGCTTAACATGTTCACCAAGAGACGGAGAAAGAGATTTTGTCTAGTGTATCCAGATACGGATCCAGTTGAACTCAATGTTTTTGGGCTATGGCCATGTGATAGCATCACCGCATTATAGCAAAAGCAGTAGCGGAAATGTGAAGCACTGCGGTCCCAAAATTCAAGAAACCGGACATCAGAGAGAACTTAACGGACCTAGATGCACTTGAAACCTCAGAATTGGGATCTCTGCTCGTTGACACTATGCAAAACTGAAAACAGCACTAAGTGATGTAGAATTGCATCCATCTTCATATTTTGCTTGTTCTTTGGCAAAAGCGCTGAACTAACCATTGTTTACTTCAACCAGAAACATGATGCAGTTATAGGTGACTTGACCATTTCAGCGAACCGATCCAATTATGTAGTTATAGGGAAAGTGCTTCGATTTTCGTCAAATCTCTAAAGAGAGAGCTTTGGATAACAACCGGAGCATTTTTCGTTTTCATTGGTTTTGTTGTGTGAGTAACTCGATCATCATGTAAACAAAGAGTTTCAATGACCCAAACGCACGCAAGTTACGATGATTTTAGGGGGATTGTAAAAATCGAATCGAACCAAAAAAATGTTATTGGATTATTGAGTTTTTAATGGGTTTATAAAAAAAATTATTGGGTTATTGATTTAATATCAATTTTTACTATTGGATTATTAGGTAAACTCATAACTCAAAAAGACGATTTTATAACTTTACCCTTTCAAAATATTAGATATTAATAATTTAATATATAACTAGATATTATAATTATATCAAATTATTAGTACTCTACTCATTTCACACTAGGTTCGCAATAATAGCTATTTGATTTTAGTTTTAGTTTGTAATTATAGGTTGTAATTACGGACATTTTCTTATTGTAAACCGATAGCGATCAAAAATCAATAAACCAAAAACCAATAAAAAAAATATTTTTATTGATTTGTTCTTACGTTAGCATATTTAAAAATCAAATCGATAATATATAACTGAACTGAACCGACCGATTCACATCCAGGGGCGGACCCACACCTTACGGTGGGGGTGCATGTGCACTCGGTAACTTTCAAAAAAATGATATGTATATTTATTTTGAAAAACTATTAGAAATTAAAATATACTTAATAGTGCACCGATAATAAGCATGGAAGTGCCTTAGTGCAATTGGTAGAAGCTAGAGTTATCACTCTCTAGACCAAGATTCGAATTTCACTTTAAGCTTATTTTTATTTTAAGTTTAGCTTAGACCTTATATTTGAGCTATGTTTATATTGATGCACCCAAAGCCTTTAAATTATGAATTCGCCTCTGTGCACACCCCTAAGATAATATTATGATTTTCCTTTCTCAACTCTCGTTTATGCTGGTTCCTTTGTCAAAGATGTCTTGAAGGGCATGCAATTTGACAGCTCCAAATTTAGGAATTTTTAATCTATAACTAATCTTATGAAACTAGAGTTTTTATTACTCTAAATATTTCGGGCAAGAATTATATTTCATGGGTATAGGAGAAATTATTTACGTAATATAAATTAGAAAAAGTACTATAAAATTATTCAGTCAAGTTTAGCTCTCCTAATAAAATAGGACGGCAAGTGTCATGGAAAAAAATGGGAGCAAGTGGGAATCGAATATTATATTTATTGAATATTTCTTCACATGCATGCAGTTAGTACATATTTTTATTTTGAACAGCGCAACTACGGTAACAGACTAGCAGCGTTGTTTTTGTCTAACATTATATTTCATCGGAAGTGTTGTATCATACAAACTATATTAATAAATAATTTATTTTATTTTCAAAATTACAAATTCTATTTTTTATGTAGTTTTGGAAGATTTGGTTCTAAATACGTAATTATTAACTTGAATATAAATATTTCATTTTTTCAAATTTTAAATTCAATTTACATATGCGATAATTATCTTAAAATGTATTTACATATACTAAGTTTTCATGATCTAGATATAACGAACTCCTATATGCAAACATGGATATAAGTGAAATCTTATAAATGAATCATATACTCACTTAACGAGGCACCTTCATTTGCCTAAAAGAGAAAACAAAAATAAACATCCTATTGCCTTATCCTTTCTCAGTTTTGGATAAGAAATAAGTTATTTATGTATGAATTTTTGTATGACTTTTACGGTGTTTGATAGGTTGATAATATTAGAAATCCACGTAACTAAACCTTTTTGGAGCTCGGATTAAATCTAAGTTGCACACGGCAGGATCTATTTGGGAATGGCTAGAACATATCACTTTTGACACCATGTTGCATGATGCGTTTAAATAGATCATATTTGTTAAAATTGGTGTTTTATAGGAAAAAGCGGGTCTCTTGAGATGTCAAAATAAATTATGTGTACAACATTGAGGTTTCACACGTGACTTAAGCGTCGTATATTTTCTTTCCAACATTATTTGGTAACTTACTAAGCAGCTTCCTAATGCAAAGTAATCAACATTGATGCAGTATTTATCGTTTACTTCTTGACCACGAGTTTATTAAAAGCATAATGGAAGACTGGATGGACTTTTGCCCCAATTATGGTATGGAGTATGGACTTTACTGATTCTGAAGTCTATAAATTCACTGATTCTGAAAAACTACGGAGAATATCTCTGCAAGTTGGTCACTTGCACAAGCACATCAACTCTCAAAATGAGAAGTTCAAAATGCCACTTCCTAATTGTTTTGATTCAATTTGTGTCCATCATTAGCTTTTACCACTATATGATGCCAATAAAAGGTGAAGATAATAAAACTAGTGTTGCAAAGGTGGATGTGGGCATAATACTTGATCTGGAAACAGATATGGGAAAAGTAATGCACATATCTATCTTACTAGCACTTGATGATTACCATGCCACCGCTAGTGGCAGTGCCATTAGGATAGTCCCTCACTTGAGGGATTCCAAAAAAGATGATGTTGAAGCAGCATCCGCTGGTAAATTCAGCTCCCGAGCATGCATATCTTACTTTCTTTGCTTCACGAGTCACTAAAACAAGTACTTCTGGCTTCCTAGAAGCTTGAACAAACAAGCTGTCAGACATACTCTGTAGTTAGTTATTCATGCCAATTTGTACAATTTCTTACAGTCTGATTGTGTATGTGCAGCCATATACCTGCTAAAGGATGTCCAAATACAAGCTATCTTTGGGCCACAAATGTCGACACAAACTGATTTTGTGATTGACTTAGGGAACAGAGTAAAAGTCCCTATCATTTCTCCAGCAACAAATCCTTTACTTACAGTAAAAGAAAATCCCTTTTTCATCAGAGGAGCACTTTCTTCTTCCAGCCAGACTAAGGCCATTGCAGCAATTGTAAAGAACTTTGATTGGAAAGAGGTTGTAGTCATCTATGAGGATAGCCCCTTTGGAACTGGAATAGTTCCACATTTGACTGATGCCTTGCTGGAAATCAGCACTTCAGTCTCCTATAGAAGTGTTATTTCTCCGTCAGCCAATGATGATCAAATCCTCAGTGAGCTATACAAGTTAAAAACAATGCAGACCAGGGTATTCATTGTGCACTTGAGACCTAAACTTGCCAAACGTCTTTTCCTCAAGGCAAACAAAGCCGGGATGATGAGCGATGGATATGCATGGATCATCACAGATGTGCTAACGAGTCTTCTTGACTCCGTAGATACTTCAGTGATTGAGTCATCAATGCAAGGTGTTCTTGGTGTAAAGCCATATGTTCCACGAACAAATGAGCTTATCAATTACACCAAGAGGTGGAGAAGGAGATTCCGTCAAGAGTATCCAGACATGGACATAGTAGGACTCAATGTTTTTGGGCTATGGGCATATGATGGCATCACAACATTAGCAAAAGCAGTAGAGAAAGTGGGTGGCAGTGCCATCCCAAAATTTAAAAAAGCAGATAATAGAGAGTACTTAACGGACTTAGATGCACTTGGAACCTCAGAATTGGGATCTTTGCTCCTCAACTCTATGCAAAACACAGCGCTAAAAACAGGTCTAAGTGGTGATTTCCGCATTGTTGATGGAGAATTGCAGCCTTCACCATACGAGATTGTGAATATAATTGGGAAAGCAGAGAGAAACACTGGATTCTGGACAGAGAAGGATGGAATTTCGTGTAAACTGAAAACAAATGGTAAAACAGCAGCCAAGTGTAATAATAAGGAACTAGGAAACATTTTTTGGCCAGGTGAATCTACTATTGCTCCAAAAGGCTGGGAAATACCCACAAGTGGAAAGAAGTTGAGGGTTGGAGTTCCAGATAAAGAAGGGCTGGAGCAATTCCTTAAAGTGGAAATAGATTCAAAAACACAAGAAGTAACTGTAACTGGTTTCTGTGCAGATGTCTTCAAAGAAGTCATCGAATCCTTGCCCTATGCTCTCCCGTACGAATTTATCCCATTTCAAATACTGGATAGCCCCACTTCTCCAGACTTTGATGTTCTTGCTTATAAGCTCTTTTCTGAGGTAATAAAGTATCTAATCTTCATTCGAATCAGCCTCTTTGGCTGAATACCTTACATTTCATCCATGCTCCCTTGAGATTTTCTTATTGCTTTTATTATGGCAAAGGAAGACCAACCATAAGTACTGAAATGATCATTGTTTACTTTAACCAGAAATTTGATGCAATGATAGGTGACATAACCATTTCAGCAAACCGATCGAAGTATGTGGATTTCACATTACCTTTTACAGAGTCCGGTTTTTCTGCAGTTGTACCAGTAAAGGATGATGACAGGAAGAATGCTTGGATTTTCGTGAAACCACTAAAGAGCGAGCTTTGGGTAACAACAGGAGCATTCTTCGTTTTCATTGGCTTTGTGGTGTGGGTGCTCGAACATCGTGTAAACAAAGAGTTTCGAGGACCTAAACGACACCAAGTTGGGATGATATTCTGGTTTTCCTTCTCAACTCTCGTTTTTGCTCATAGTAAGCCTCTAACTCAAAGTAAATTATATACGAAAGCTTTATATCTATCTTAGCTAGTTTCTCAAATGGTTGGTTGTTTCAGAAGAGAGAGTAACAAGTAACTTTACAAGATTTGTGCTGATTGTGTGGGTTTTCGTGGTTCTGGTGCTGACCTCGAGTTATACAGCCAGTTTAACGTCTATGCTGACAGCGCAAAAGATTCAACCTACAATAACAGACCTCAATGATCTCATCAAGCGAGGAGAATATGTTGGGTACCAAAAAGGTTCCTTTGTGAGAGGCGTCTTGAAGAGCATGAAATTTGACAGCACCAAGTTCAGAAGTTATAGCACATTGGAAGAGTATAACGATGCCCTCTCAAAAGGAAGTAAAAACGGAGGTGTAGGTGCAATTGTTGATGAACTACCTTATCTCAGACTCTTCCTCAACAAATACTGCAGAAAGTATATTATGGTTGGTCCGACTTACAAGACTGCTGGCTTTGGATTCGTAAGATTCTCTCTGTATCTGGAAATGTTCAGTATCCACGGTATTTCACTCAATCTAATCTTTTCTTTTCCCACAACTTCTTACAGGCATTTCCAAAAGGGTCACCTTTGGTACCTGATGTATCAAGAGCAGTCTTGAAGGTAATGGAGGGAGAGTTTATGAATAACATAATACAGAAATGGTTTGGGAATGAAACAGATTGTCCACGGATAGATGGAATGTCTATAACATCTGATAGTCTCACGCTGGATAGTTTTAAGGGCCTTTTCGTTACAGCTGGTGTATCGGCAGGTTCCGCTCTTCTCTTATTCTTCCTCAACTTCCTTTATCAGAACAGAGAAATCCTAGCCACTGATGATTCAGTGTGGAAAAAGCTTTCTGCAATAGCAAAAGCTTTTGATGAAGAGAAAGACAACTCTAATTCTATGTCAGAAAATCCATCTGAAGGGAATGGAAGCCAAACAACTACACTGTTAGCAGAAAGTGAAGCTTCCGCGGAAGTACCTGACCTTCCTTTGCAAAGCATAGATATCAGAATTTCCGACAGGCTAGGAGCATCCTCCCCTATTGCTGAAGGGTTCTCTACAACAGAACATGGAACTCCAGTTCATGAAATCGTTACCGCAACAATTGAAGAGAGATTGCATAGAGTCATACAAGAGATGAGCTAATAGGGTGGGTTAGACCAGATGACATTTTTATAACTTTGTCCCTCTTTGCCAGAATTTAGATATGATGGGTTCAAAGCTTATACTCGTTAGATTGAATTCATTGCATCTCTGTAATTATGAGTTAATTTAATATTCATTTGAAATTCTTCTAATTTTCTACTAGTTCCGTGCGGTGTTGAGATTACTGTATTTGTTTTTCTTTTTTTGATTTCTGATATTCTTTACTTGAGCCAAAGATCTATGCGACCATGTAGGATTAAGGGTGCGTATACGTCGTCCTTCTCTTCTCTGCTGTCGGAAACTCACCGCTTAATCGTTAACCAGTTAATGTATATGTTCATTTCAACATTTATCTAATATCAATGCAGTGTTTAGCGTTTAATCATTCCCCGCATAACTTCTGGGAGACGGGATGGTTAAACGTAAACATTATTACTTTCGTTAAATCACTTAATCAAGATAATTGAATTAATTTGGTGTATAATCCGATGAAAGTAAGTAATTACCTCTCTGCTTGATGTGCAAACGATTTACTGAGAACGATGTAAGATAAAAGCCACGTTATATATGTTACATTGTCTGAAACGGGTGTACCTCTTTAGTATCGGGTTCATCTTAATCCAGTATATTTTATGCGGTGCACAAATATGTGTAAAAATTCTCTAAAATTGAAATAAACAATAAATATGAACCCATTATTTTAAAGACGTAATGGGTTCAATGATATAAGTCTTAAATATTTAAATCATTAAATCTTAATAAGAAAATAAGCTGAGACACAATAGCTCGTACTACTTGGGTAAATATTTACCCACGCGTAAACTTATTATAATCAATTGATATAATAAAGTAAAAAGGCATTTTACTCAATCATGGAGCGTACAGATAATAAAATAAAGACTTGTAGCATTGACTGCACTTTGAAAGTTTCAACTTTGTCATTTCTATCTACATCAATAATCGTTTGGACTCATACTAGTCAAGGTCTTTAACTTGTTAATATCTATAAAATTCACTAATTCTGAAGCTATATTTCCAAAGTCGCCCATTTGAGAGAGCTCTGCAGAATATGGTTTACTTGCACAAGCAGAACTCCTTGCCAACTCACAGACTACTTACTACCAGAGTTTTTCAAATGAAAAATCCAAGACGTCACTTCCTAATTCTATTCATTCAACTTGTGTCTATCATTAGCTTTTGCCACTATGTAATGCCAATAAGAGGTGAAAATAATAACACTAGTGCTGTAAAGGTGGATCTGGGTATAATTCTTGATATGGAAACAGATGTGGGAAAAGTAATGCACACATGTATTTTACTAGCAATTGAAGATTACCATGCTGCCGCTAGTCATACTGCCACTAGGATAGTACCCCACTTGAGGGATTCCGAGAAAGATGATGTTGAAGAAGCATCAGCTGGTATATTCTGATCCATGATTTACTTCTGTAAACTAGCATACCAGTCTCTCTTTTCGTCTTTTTTCACTTTTGGTTTAAATTTCCGTTCAAACAAACGATGTCTTACAGTCTGATTGTGTATATGCAGCCATATATTTGCTCAAGGATGTCCAAGTACAAGCTATCTTTGGCCCACAAACTGATTTTGTGATTGACTTGGGGAACAGAGCAAAAGTTCCTATCATATCTCCAGCAACAAATCCTTTACTTTCAGTCAAGGAAAATCCCTTCTTCATCAGAGGAGCACTTCCTTCTTCCAGCCAGACTAAAGCCATTGCAGCAATTGTTAAAAACTATGGTTGGAGGCAGGTTGTAATCATCCACGAGGATAGCTCCTATGGAACTGGGATAGTTCCACATCTGACGGATGCCTTGCTGGAAAACAACACTTTAGTTTCCTATAGAAGTGTTATTTCTCCTTCAGCCAATGATGATCAAATACTCAAGGAATTATACAATTTGAATACAAAACAGACGAGGGTGTTCATCGTGCACTTGCAACCATATCTTGCCTCGCGCCTTTTCCTCAAGGCCAAAGAAGCTGGGATGATGAGCACTGGATATGCATGGATCATCACAGATGTGCTAACGAGCCTTCTGGACTCAGTAGATCCTTCAGTAATTGAATCATCAATGCAGGGTGTTCTTGGTATAAAGCCTTATGTTCCAAGTACAACCGAGCTTAAAAATTTCACCAAGAGATGGAGAAAAAGATTTCGTCAAGTATATCCAGACATAGACGGAGTAGAACTCAATGTTTTCGGGCTATGGGCATATGATAGTATCACTTCATTAGCAGAAGCAGTAGCAAAAGTGGGAATTACTGCTATCCCGAAATTCAAAAGAGAAGATACTAGAAAGAACTTAACGGACATAGATGCACTTGGAACTTCAGAATTGGGATCTCTGCTCATTCACTCTATGCAAAACATAACGCTAAAAGCAGGTCTAAGTGGTGATTTCCGCATAGCAGATGGAGAATTGCAGCCTTCGCCATATCAGATTGTGAATATTATTGGGACAGGACAGAGAAGCGTTGGATTCTGGACAGAGAAGGATAGCATTTCGTATAAACTGAAGATGAATGGTAAAATAGCTAAAACTGATAATAAGCAACTAGGGCCCATCATTTGGCCCGGTGAATCTACTATTGTTCCGAAAGGCTGGGACATGTCCACAAGCGGGAAGAGGCTAAGGGTTGGAGTTTCTGTCAATGGAAAGCTGGACGAATTCATTAAAGTGGAAAGAGATTCAAAAACACAAGCAATAGTCGCAACTGGTTTATGTTTAGATTTCTTCAAGGAAATCATCGAATCTTTGCCATATGCTGTCAGTTATGTATTTATTCCATTTACAATGCCAGATAGCCGCACTTCCCCAGACTATGATCATCTTGATAACATGGTAATACCAAATCCTTGTGTAAATTGACCTCTTTGGTCAAATACCTTACGTGCTCCTTATTGGGACTTTCTTCTCTGCTTTTTACTTTTGCTCAGACTGAGGAAGACCAATCATTAATACTGCAATAATCATTGCTTGCCTTGAACAGGAATATGATGTAGTTGTAGGTGATGTGACCATTTTAGCGGGACAATCCAAGTATGTGAACTTCGCATTACCTTTTCCAGAGTCAGGTATTTCCACAGTTGTGCCAGTTAAAGATGATGAGAGGAAGAATATTTGGATTTTCTTGAAACCTCTAAAGAGTGAGCTCTGGATAACAACTGGAGCTTTCTTTGTCTTCATTGGTTTTGTGGTTTGGGTACTCGAACATCGTGTAAACAAAGAGTTTCGAGGACCCAAGCACAAGCAAGTTGGTATGATGTTCTGGTTTTCTTTCTCAACTCTCGTTTTTGCTCATAGTAAGTCTCTAACTCAAAGGAAGCTTTAAGATTTCACATTGTTTCTCAACAAATCATAAGTACGGCTGGTTGTTGCAGGAGAGAGGGTAACAAGTAACTTAACAAGATTTGTGCTGATTGTGTGGGTTTTCGTGGTTCTGGTGCTGACATCAAGTTATACAGCCAGCTTATCATCTATGCTAACAGTGCAACAGCTCCAACCTGCCAATGATCTCATTAACAATGGAGGATATGTTGGGTATCTAAAAGGTTCTTTTGTCGAATACTTCTTGATGCGCATGCAATTTGACAGATCCAAGTTAAGAAGTTATAGCACATTGGAAGAGTATAATGATGCGCTCTTAAGAGGAAGCAAAAATGGAGGTGTTAGTGCAATTATTGATGAACTACCTAATCTCACACTCTTTCTCAACAAATACTGCAGGAAGTATATTATGGTTGGTCAAACTTACAAGACTGATGGCTTTGGATTAGTAAGATTCTATCTGCATCTTTTAACTGGAAAGGTTCTCTAACACTATCTCACCCAATATAATTCATTTTTTCTGCACAATTTCTTGTAGGCATTTTCAGAAGCCTCACCTTTGGTACCTGATGTCTCAAGAGCAGTCTTGAAGATGAAGGAGGGAGGACAGTTTGCGAAAAGAGGAATACAGAAATACTCTAGTAATGAAACAGATTGTTCACAGAGCAATGGAACATCAGATAGTCTCACGCTCGATAGTTTTAGGGGCCTTTTCCTCATAGCTGGTGTATCAGCAGGCACCGCTCTTCTCATATTCTTCCTTATCTTCCTTTATCAGAATAGAGAAATCTTAGCCACTGATGATTCAATACGGAAAAAGATTTCTGCAATAGCAAAAGTCTTTGATGAAGAAAAAGATATATCTAATTCTAAGTCAGGAAAGCCAGGATGTAATGAAGAAAGCCAAACGGCTACAGTACTGCTCGCAGCAAGTGAAACTTCCCCTGAAATATTGCCCAATCTCCCTTCGCAAAGCTTAGAAATCAGAATCTCCGATGGCCTAGGAGAATCCCCTGCACATGAAGGGTTCTCTGCAACAGAGCCTGCAACTCTAGTTCATGAAACCATTACAGAGACATTCTAAATTTGTAACTTTGGCCTTGATATTTGCATCAAGGGGCAGCTTAAGAATTGGATCTGGTGGGTTTAACCTTGGATGATTGTTATCTATTGTATTACTGTATTCCCAGTGCTACACATTTACATGGCAACTTTCTGATCTAAAACATTCATTGACCATTTGGTGGCTATAAATCATCTACTGTATCATCATACTTGAAGCCCGTTGCTTATAAGCCAAAAGTCATAAGTTAGAAATCTTAACTTACAACTTTTGGTTTAGTTTTGTTGTTTTTGCTTAAAAATAAGCACTTAAAAACACTTTTTAAACTTACCCAAACACAACAAAAGTGCTTAAAAGTTATCTTGGCTTAAGAGCTTAGAGCACCTAAAATAAATTAATTCAAACAGGCTCTTATTTTAAAAGTGGGAAGTCCCATAGTTGAAAGTTGATTTACGAAATTAGCCTTCAATACTTGATTGACAATTTTATCATCCATTAAAAAATTGCCTCTTATTAAATAATGCAAGATATATTAAAAATTACCTTTCCACTAGTTTTGTCAAAGCGCACTTAAGCCCTGAAGCGAAGCGCAAAACACTCACTTAGTATTTGTTTGGTTGGGGAACAAGTTATCCGTAATTAGTTACTCCAAGTTGCCATCCCAACCTCAATGTGGATAAATAACACTACAATCTAGGGATAAGTTATCCCAAACAAACATGGGATAAAATCATCCTAAAATTAATCAAGGATTAGTTGTCTCTTATCCCTTGTACCAATCAAGCCCTTAATATGCCCTTTAGTGTCATCATCAAGGCTCTGAGACATGTTTTTCCTCACTAATGAGCATCTCCAGAAGAGGCAACACTAAACAATTGAAATTTCACTTTAACGTAATCCTATTTCATTTTTTTTTCCATGTAGTTGTTATTCATGCTTATAACTATTAATCTTGAACTAAAACATGTATACTTGTATTGTTTCTCCATTTACTCTTTTTCATTAAAGCCTACGTTTATATTCAATTTGCACTTAAAATATCAATGAACCTTAGAATGTTTTGTGCTTTTCTATTTTGATAACACTACTTTCAACTAGACACCAAAACCCTCGGTCCATGCATTAACATATTCTATCAAACCTCAAACTTATTTACAAAGCATTGTATTGGATTACTGAACAAAGAAAAGAGTTCAAACTTCAAGCCATGAATTTTAAGGTGACGCTGAATCTAAAGTTAGAAGATTTTTTTCCGGAAAATATCATGGCATGCAAGTTGTATTGGTAATTTGTTCATTTTCTTTAAGTTTTTAGTTCGAATTCACACAAGATAAAGCATAAACAATTCTGCTCACCCTCTGGTTCCTACTTACCACTTTTATATTAACTTGGAACATAGGAAGTAATTCACAAGTTTGCTTAGATGACCAAGGCGGTTATTTTCTGTTATGCTCCAAGACAGTCTTCAAGGACTCGATGATTCAAATTAACCAGGTGAACATTGGGATTGATAAATTATGATAGCCTGAGTGTCCTTTGAAAACTGGAAATAAGTCACTTGATAACAGAAGCAGGTCTAAAAATAAACATTATCACAATTCCATCCAAGTATAAATCAAGGTCTATCGGTTATATTATTAGCATATCAATGTTTAAAGCAAGCTCCACCAGACGTGCACCATACAAAATTCCAGCACAGTACAAAATTCAGTTGAGAGAAGAAATAAAGCCTGAGATCCAACCTTGTTCTCATTCTTCAGGAGAATCCGAGCGGATGGCTGTTAAAAAACCAGCAGAAATGTTTATCAGTAAGCAGAAAGCACAGCTTGCAAGGATAATAAGACAATAGAGAAAAAAAGACATCCGCCGTTCCCCATCCGCTCATCTAAAACATAAAAAAAGAGTACGCAGAAAAAGCTAAATTCCTATTTACCACAATTCATTTGTTTATGACTTTTAACGTGTGAGAGTTATTCCAATTAAGAAGCATGTATAAACACAAACATGAGCACCACTGTACATTAATATCAATCGGCAGTGGCCTGTGGGGTCATCATAATGATCCTCTACTTCTTTCTATTTCTCTTAATGAGTCCAACTTCTATCCATATTCCAGTTAGACCTTGTATTATGAAAATAGGAAAATGAGAAGAAACATATTATGCTATGAAACATTTCAACATAAAATGTTGAGGATACGAATGTATAGATATGATGAAATCTATGAACTGATATCAGGTTGCAAACTCTACAGCAGTGATTACAAGTGAGTACATACTGCCTTTTTAGAAGAGGAGAATAAGCAAGAAAGAGCACAGGAATAGTACGCAAGTCAGTGGTCGGTATTGAACAAATGATCAACACTAGCAAGTACATTGGGGAATAATTGTTGGCAGTGAATGAGTTCAAACAAGCAATTTAGACAGGCAAACAGCACAGAAATCATGTGCAAATTCTAAATAAGTATGATTCTCAGCACCACAAAGTCTCCCAAGCTTTAGTGGACATCCAAATGCAAGACAGAAAGAATAAAACCTTCACAGTCCACCTAAAAGAGGTAGATAAACTAATAAAATTGCTTTAATTTCAACTCATTGGTTATCTATTTAGTCAGGAGTAGAGTTCATTTAGAACATTTTCATGTCTAGGAGCTGGAGAAAAATCTTCTCTTGATTAATATAATTCTTTAGAGAACAACTCCCGCAGAAACCCACCAGAGCTAACTATTATATGAACAAGAATCTCATTGCATTCTAACATATGAACATAAACCCTAGATTTATAAATGCCACCTATTAACCACTCAGAAGAAAAACCGAACACAGCAGATTTGCAAGTTCAATTTATTTACGACTCCCTGCAACGAAATTCCCATCACTAATAACAGCATCTGAAGAATAGTAATAAAAGCAATTACTGAAACATTAATACACAAAATAAGGGGAAACCAAAGATCTGAACTTTGGGTTTCCTGATCGAAAGGGAGATAAAGGAAACAGAGAGACCGCTTACTGGGTTTCTGAGGCTTGCCATCAGCCCATTTGGAGATGGTGAAATGGACCTTCTCACGGCTCAAAGCTTCGGACTTGTAAGGCTCCTTAAGGCAGTTTCTGACCAGGTTGGCGCATAGGTTTGAGTAAGTTATGTAAGTCATCCCTGCCGACCTCCAAAACGGTGCAGCTGCGTTAGAAGCCATTTTTCTGCTGCTTTTGCTTTCTCTCGGCTGCGTTCTGTTGTCACGGATGAGATGAGTACCTGCGCACAATATCCTGTCAAATGTCGATACAAGGGGGAAATGGGCAAATTTTACCTCTATACCTAGAAAATTATCTATTTCTCCTAAATACTTTTTTCTTTGTTAACTTTGAAAAAAACATATTTAGTCCTAAAATTAACTTAATTTTGGAATTTTTAAGTTTAAAAAAACTACATAAATATTTCACTTTTTACAATTCAAATCACTCATAAAAGATAAAAATAAAAATAATTCTAATCTATATATATGGTCAGACATAAAATGTTTGGCCATGAAATTGTTTTATTATATCCAAAGTTAATTTTCAAATTAAAAATAATATATCAAAGAAATACTTGAGTGATAGTATATACGATTTTCATTAAATACGATTTTTTTTTTTGCAGAATTCTATATATATCTTACATTTATAAGATTGAGTATAAATTTTTGCTTACTTGCTCCAAACTACTAGCAACAAGTCAAAATTAACTCAAATTTATATTTAATGGCTACACAAATTAAAATTAAAAGGAAAAACTTTTTTTTTTCAAATCTCAGTGACGGTAGAGGTGGGAATTCAATTCTTCGATTCGATTTAATTAAATTTTGATTCAGTATTCGATTTTAGAAAAATATGCACCATCCAAACTAAGACCGTTTCGATTTGATTTAGTTCGATATTTTTAAATTGATTTTTTGGTGTGAATATAATAAAGTGTTAATAGTTTCATGTGCTTAATAAAAATAAATAGAAGGTAAATATGTGACATTATTTTTTGTTTCTCTCGTAACTGAATGAATAAGAAGAGAGCAAATATAATTACGGACTCACAATGAATGAGAAGGTACATAAACAGAAGCTAACAAGCATTTGCTAGTTGCTACAATGAACATAAGCTAACAAGCGTTTGCTACAACAATAATTTCAAACTTAATTGTCATTATAATACTATATTAATATCAGTATAATAATTTTTTATCATAAAAGGCTAGCTGAAGTAAAAAGTGTAAGGGTCCGTTTGGATG